CCTCAGCATCATCATCATCATCACCCTCGCCCTCATCCTTATCGACCTCATCCGAATGTTCTTAGGGTTACAGGGCTATAGAGCTATAGGGCTGTAGGGCTGTAGGGCTGTAGGGCTATAGGGCTATAGGGCTTTAGGGCTATAGGGTTGTAGGGCTATAGGGCTGTAGGGCAATAGGGCTGTAGGGCAATAGGGCTACAGGGCTATATGGGCTATAGAGCTGTATTGGCTACTAGGATATTGGGCTAGAAGGCTATAGAGCTATAGGGCAATGGGGCTACAGGTCTATAGGGCTATAGGGCTGTAGGGCTATAGAGCTATAGGGCTATAGTGCTATGTGGGCTATTTGGCTATGAGGCTGTTGGGCTATTCGGCTATGGGGATATAGGGCTTTGGGACTATATGGGCTATTGGGCTATATGGGCTATTGGGCTAAAGGGCTGTAAGGCGATAGAGCACCCGGGCAAGCGGGTACACGGGCAACCCTGGGCACCTCCGGGCACCCTGGGGCACCTCCGGGCACCCCCAGGCACCCGGGCACCCGGGATCCCCCGGGCACCCGGGCACCGCGGCCCGGCCACCGAAATCGTCGACGTAGGTCACCTGCACACATGAATCCGCTAGGACCCCTACAGAGGAAAGCTCTGATTGGGAAATCATCAGCCTCATCATCCTCGTCATCATCAGCATAAGCAGCATCGCAATTTTCCTCATCAACATCATCATCACCACCACCACCACCGTCATCATCAACAACAGCAGCAACACCTGCATCATCATCATCATCATCATCATCATCATCATCATCATCATCATCATCATCATCATCATCATCATCATCAGCATCATCATCATCATCATCATCATCTTCATCATCAGCAGCAGCAGCAGCAGCATCAGCATCATCAGCAGCAGCACCGTCTTCATCCTCGTCCTCATCATCAGCATCATCAACCTCATCATCGTCAGCAGCAGCGTCGTCCTCATGACAAACAACATCATCAGCATCATCATCAGCATCATCATGATCATCATCACCCTCACCCTCATCCTTGTCAACATCATCATCATCATAATCCTCCTCAACATCATCATCATCATCATCAGCATCATCATCATCATCATCATCATCATTATCATCATCATCATGAGCATCATCAGTAATATCAGTTTAAGCATCTCCATCATCAGCATCGACAACAATATCGTCATCATCATCCCCATCATCATCATCATCATCATCATCATCATCATCATCATCATCATCATCTCCATCCTCATCTTCCTCATCCCCATCATCATCAGCATCACCATCCGCATCCTCGTCATCATCATCATCATCCACATCATCATGAGCAAAAGCATCATCATCACAATCATCATATTCAGCATCGGCATCATCATCATCATCATGATCATCACTCTCACCATCATCATTATCGACCTCAGTGTCATAATTATCCTCATCATATTCATCGTCATGATCAGCAGTATCAGCATTACCATCATGTGAATCATCATCATCACCAACAGCAGCAGCATCAACAACAACAAATGACAATGATAACAACAAGAGTTTTAATATAGATCGCTCTTATCTGCTCGCGTGTCCCTCAACACGTATACCCCAAACCCTCGATACGCCCTCTTCGTCTTCGATCGTACCACCTTAGGGGTATAGATTCCTTACCTGCAACGTTTATTTCGTGCAGCCCCTGAGGCAGGGGAAGAGAAGACGGTTGAAAGGAAGGGACAAGGGGAAAGGAGGATAATGGAGCACGAGAGGGAATAGCAGAAGGGGGGCTAGGAGCAGAAAACAAGTGGCAGAACCAGACAGGCAGATCGGGCGGATAGGCCCTAACGAGCGGATCGAAGGCGGGCCCAGGCGGCCAGGTCGAGCAAACGGGTTGCTGACGCGTAATCGCGACGATGTCTCGAGCGATAGCGCGATCTGCCACGGGGCCACGAAGGGCAGCGAGGGGGCAACGAAGGAACTGTGCCACGAAGGGTAGCGAGGGAGTCACGAAGGGCTGCAACGGGGCCACGAAGGGCAGCGAAGGGGCCCACGAAGGGCTGCAACGGGGCCACGAAGGGCATCGAGGGGGCCACGAAGGGCTGCAACAGGGCCACGAAGGGCAGCGAGGGGGTCACGGAGGGCTGCGAGGGGCCACGAAGGGCAGCGAGGGGGCCACGAAGGGCTGCAACGGGGCCACACGACGGGCAGCTAGGGGGCCACGAAGGGCTGCAACGGGGCCACGAAGGGCAGCGAGATCCGGATTCCTAAGTAAGCTGTGGAGGAGTCATAGGCGTGAACGCGACTCCTGAGCGCGGCGCTTGAGTACATTCCGGGGATGTCCAACGCAAGCGCGCGATTCTTGTATGAATTGCAAGCAAGTCTCCAGCGAGAGCGCGACTCCAGAGCGCCGAGAAAGCGATTCTTGTATAAGGAAGCCTCAGGCGGGAGCGGGGGTCCTGGCGAAATTCTGCGGAAGTCTTAGGCGTCACCCGGGAACCAGGGGCACAGTTTGACCCTAGCGACTTTCCCTGCCAAAAACAAGATGCGAGCCCAGGTGGAAGCACTTCAATTGACAAAACACAATGGTCACTGGAGGGGGGATCAACAATAGTGTTCTTCATTAATAAAAAACTGACCAACAATAATAGTTTTAAGACTGTTCGTTCCGATCTGCTCGCGTGTCAATCATTACGTAGATCCCAAAAACTCGGCACCCGCCCTCGTCGTCTTCGATCGTACCCCCTTGGGGTACATCTTCCTCACCTGCCACGTGCATTTAGCGCAGCCCCTAAAACAAGGGAAGAGAGGACGGGTAACGGGGGAGGAAGAATAATGGAACACACGAGAAATTAACAGTAGGGGGGCCAGGAGCAGAAACCAAGTGGTAGAACCAGATGGGCAGATCGGGTGGGCAGACCCATCGCGGGCAGGTCGGGAAGGCGGGCCCAGGCGACAAATCGAGCAGGCGGGTTGCTGAAGCGTGGGTTCTGCATGAATCGCGAGGAAGTCTCGAGCGATAGCGCGAATCCCAAGTAAACCGTGAGAAAGCCCAAAGCGAGAGCGTGATTCCTGGGCGCCGAGGGTGCATCGTTCGAATAAACTGCAAGGAAATCCCACGCGAGAGTACATTTCGTACGTAAAGTGGGAGGAAGTCCCGCGACAGAGCGCGATTCTCCAATACATTGCAAGGAAGTATCAGGCGGGAGCCGTTGTTGTTGTAAACCGGGGCCTAACAACGCAGTCTGAGGAGGAAGACTTTCCCTAGGAAAATTCAGGGTGCGAGCCCCACGGTGGGCAATTCAATTCAAAAACACGATTCCTCAAAAGCGAAAATCAACAACAACAACAACAACAACAACAACAACAACAACAACAACAACAACAACAACAACAACAACAACAACAACAACAACAACAACGCAAGGACACTCTCTCAGGCCACCCCGGCGGGGCCCGTGGGAGTGTCCTCGCCCCCAGGGCGAGCGCACTGCCCCAGGCCACACGTTGCAGTTTTTGCCCCGGGGGGGGGGAGCAATGCGCAACACCTCTGTCATACGCTAACGTAAATCTATATGTGTTTCCGAATCTCCGTTGGCTCCCTTACTGTTCCCCACGCACTCCTGTGTCCGAAAACCGACCACGCGCCAGCGAGGCCAGCTCCTCATCCTGTTAGGACTCCTATGCAATCGTAGAGGACCCTCGAAGGATCCTATAGGATCCCTATAGGACTCCTATGGAATCGTGCAGGACCCTGTAAGGATCCTATGGGATCCCCATGGTGTTCCAATGGAATCGTGCAGGACCCTGTAAGGATCCTATGGGATCCCCATAGGGTCCCTATGGAATCGTGCAGGACCCTGTAAGAATCCTATCGGATCCCTATAGGGTTCCGGTGGGATCCTGTTGGACCTTGTAAGGATCCTATAGGACCCCTATAGGGTTCCGATGGAACCGTGCAGGACCCTGTAAGGATCCTATAAGATCCATATACGGTTCCTATGGAATCGTGCAGGACCCTATACGGATCCTATAGGACCCCTATAGGGTTCCGATGGGATCCTGTTGGGCCTTGTAGGGACCCTAGAGGACCCCTCTAGGGCTCCGATGGAATCGTGCAGGACCCTGTAGGGACCCTATAGGACTCCTATAGGGTTTCTATGGGATCCTGTTGGACCCTGTAAAGGATCCTACAGGATCCCTGTAGGGTCCCGATGGAATCGTGCAGGACCCGGTAAGGATCCTATAGGATCCCTCTAGGGTTCCTATGGGATCGTGCAGGACCCTGTAAGGATCCTATCGGAATCCTCTAGGGTTCCTATGGAATCGTGCAGGACCCTGTAAGGATCCTATAGGATCCGTCTAGGGTTCCTATGGAATCGTGCAGGACCCTGTAAGGATCCGCGAGTCGGGGGGCCCTCTGGGGCGGTGTTGGGCCCTCTTGGGGGCCTCTTGGGCCGTATTGGGACGAGCTTGGGGGCCTCTTGGGTCGCCTTTGACGTCGTGAAAGCTCGAGTGACTTCACGAAGCCAGGGTAAGAAGGGCCGCAGCTTAAGGAGCTCTCGCTCACGATTTGGCGGTGCGCTGTTTCGGCTCGACATGAATTCGGCGTTGCAAGAGTATCTTGGCAGGCGTCTCGGGAACGTCTTGAAGCCTGTGGGGCCTCTTGGGGGCGTATTGGGGGCCTCTTGGGGGCTTCTGTAGGGCTTCTTGTGGCTCCGAGGCGGCGTCTTGAAAGGCCCGTGGAGCCTCTTGGGAGGCTCTTGGGAGCGGGTGGAGCTTCTTAGCAGCGCTTTTGGGGGCGGATGGGGCCTCTTTGGAGCACATGGGAACGACTTTGAAGCCTCTTGTGGGGTCCTTATGGGCCTCTTTGTTCCCCCACTAATAATACAGTCTCTCCAAATTACGTATGTATGGTGATGAGACAGATGGCAAGAATGCGCACTCCAAACCATGAACATCTCGGTCCGTATTGTTCTCACTGGCGTCAACTCCTGCCATGCGATTTCCACCCCTTGTGGAGACTGTCAGCCCACGTCTTGAATACATTCTCGTATATGCCGACGCCCCGTCGCGTGCTGTTGTCGAAGACAACCTTACTCGAAGGCCGGAGAGCTTCTTGGATTGAAAGGCCAATTCGCGCATCCGAAGCATCGCGACTGTAATCCCAGTCCCCGTCCCAGTCCTTCATGAATGCGAAGTGCTTGCTTAGCCCGATGTTACCACTCGGCCCAAGAACAACTGTCACGCGAGGCACATAGAAGGAGAAAGCGATGATGCGGCAGTGCAAACTTGTGGAAATCAAAAGCGTTGCTCTGGATATTAAAGCACTTATACCCCAAATGTTGAGCCCATCGAATATGGTCACAGCAATTGAAGAGTCTGTGTTTTCAAGCCTGGACTTCATAGCCTCATACGGCTTCAGAGCATCGTGGCCAGGCGCAGCGCCTGCTCGGAACATGACGATGCTGGCGTTGTTCGTTCTCGCCGCTGCCAACATAGCATCAACAAATCCATCGTCAAAGTGAACTCCCTCCCTGAACTGCCAAGCGAAATATCTCCCCATTGGTAGGCCGCTTGTGCGAAGAGATATGGACTCGCCAAACAAAGTGTTGATCATGATCACGCTGTCTGGGGCCACCAGGCAGTCTTCGTAGCCAGCCCGATGAAGATTTTGGCGGAGCGTGCAATGGTCAAACCAGCTCTGATTGATTATTGAGGTGCCTACACCTCCAATTGTGTTGGCGATGAACAAGCCAGGTTTGGCAAACTTGTCCTTGGGCAGCAAGTAGGAAAGGCTGCAGCCTCTGTGCATGAAGTCGCCCCGATTGCAAGCTTTGAAACCACCTCCAAAAAAACCCAGCGCACTATTGAGCGACAAGTCATGGAGAGTTTCCCCTCCACAAAAGATCACATCGAGAGAGCCATTGTACATGTTGGAGAACAAAGAGCCAACGCCAATGACAAGATGACCGCCATACGCCCGCATATCGGCGCCTGCAACGTCAGCATGCAAGAAATCGTCGGGACAGAAACCGCAGCGTCTTTGCAGCATCGTTTCCACGATCCACGGCATCAGCATATCACCGAAATTGTGCCGACCCATAGCGCCATACAAAAGCACCTTGCAACCATGCGGAATCACTTCAGTGCACCCTGAGCTGCTCGACTGGCTCGCGCCATGCAATGCACTCTCCCTGGGGCCTGTGCACCCAGCACCTGGGACTCCTTCGCTCTGCATCGATGAAAGCGGGCGCGCAATGGTCCGCGAGAGCCTGATACTGACTGCGAATCTATACACGCGAATGGAACCATCACGCGACGAGCATGCGAACGAAACAACAACAACAACAACAACAACAACAACAACAACAACAACAACAACAACAACAACAACAACAACAACAACAACAACAATTACTAGCACGTGGGGACACTCCGTTCTCACCAGTGCCAGGGTTTTCATAGGAGGCGGGCAATACCCCCACTTTGTGGGGGGGCCGGTTCAAGCTCTACCACATTTCCAAACGACTCTTCGCCACCACCCACACCCAGCTTCCCGCCCTATGACGTTCGGACACTTCACTTCGTGGCCTGCGGACGACCGTGGCTACTACACTGGCGCGTGGCTACTACACTGGCGGATTGTGGTCCCTGGCAGGCGCGCGAACGCCGTTGAAAGAGCTTGCGTAAGTAGCTCGCGCGAGCTCATGTAACATAAATGTTGAAAAACCATTGGTTCTTAAGGATTCGGACAGCGCGCGCGGGTAGAAATTTTGAAAATCCGTGCACGTGTTTTTCGAGGACCTACGGTGCGATTCGTGCGATTTTATGATACGCGGTGCTGAAATTCTTAAGAAACCCAATGGTGTTTGAAGATTTCGGCGTGCGCGCGCGAAGAAAAAACGAATGTGTCCCATATGGTATTATTTGACAGGGATGATGGCCCTGGCAGGCGCGCAACCGTTGTTGCAGAAGTTCGAAGCACGTGAAAAAGTTGCTCGCAAGAGCCCGTTTGACAGAAATGTTGAAAAAGTATTGGGTTTCCTAAGAAATCCGCAAGAGCGCGCGGGATGAATTTTTGAAACTTTTTTTTGAAAAACCATTGGGTTTTTCATGTTTTTATGTTAAAATCGCTACGAAAACTAAGGTTTTGGAAGGATTTCATCTTGCGCGCGCGAGTGTGCACTTCGTGTCATTTTTTGCAAAGGATTCTTGAAGTTTGGTTATGTTAGAACAAGACATGTCATTTTATATTGTTTTTTGACAGGGAAAGCGGGCGTCAACAAAACAACCGGATCCGGACTCCCCCGTTTTGCCTGAGACTTCCTCACGAAAATGATGAAAATGTGGCTGCGGCCTAGGCGCGGCGAGGGGGGCGTGCACCAGGGGGCCCAACAATAATTATTCTTTAGAAGTAATAATATTCAACAACAACAACAACAACAACAACAACAACAACAACAACAACAACAACAACAACAACAACAACAACAACAACAATGAAGAGCAACCACATTACGGGGAACAATCTGCGTTCCACCATTCGTCTAATGTTCCGATCGGTTCGTTTGCACAGGTCTGGGGTGCTTGGCAAACGAGCGACGATAGCCTCTAGGCCCGAAATGGCCACTTGAGCCAAAATGGCTTGAGCCAAAATGGCTACGGAGGGGGGTCCTTATGGGCCTCTTAGGAGCTTTTGGAGGCCTCTTGGAGCTCCTTGGCGGCGTCTTGGGGGCCCCTGGAGCCTCTTGGGAAGCTCGCGGGGGCGAGAGGAGGGGTGATCGATTGCGGCTCCCCCCTCGGCAGCCACGATCCTCGTGAGGGGTGTCGAAAAATTGCCCTCCCCTGGAGCTTTCTGGGGGATCTGGCCGGGGATCGCCTGGGGATCCGCCGGGGGTCGGCCATGGTACCTTTCGTCCGGGGACCCCCAGGGGCCGCCACGCGCGCGCAAAGCAGAATATGATTAAAAAGATACCGGAGATCTTAGCATGCCTCTGGCCCGTTGGGCCGGCTAATTCGTTCTGCCCTACCTCAAAAGCATGAACCCGTTCCTGAGACCCTCCGTGAATCTATGCCAAACCTCCTCCAAACCTTCCTCATCCACATCTTCGCTCGGCCACCTCCTACTAATACGGTTCCTCCTTCTCCTTCTCTTCATCCCCATCCTCCCCCAACTGCTCATCATTCTCATCATCCCCCTCATCATGCTCCTGCTCCTCCTCTTGCTCCTCCTGTTCCGCCTGCTGCTCTTGCTCAACCTCATCCTCCTCTACAACGGGGCATCTGCGACGCTATTGGGCTGTTGCGCGTTTCCATGGGTCCATGCTCTGGGTAACCCCAGGGGGGTACCAAAAGAGCGCATCCTTAGCATCCTGCATCACCATCATCACCATCACCATCACCATCACCATCACCATCATCCATCATCCATTATCATCATCATCATCATCATCATCATCATCATCATCATCATCATCATCATCATCATCATCATCATCATCATCATCATCATCAATCATCATCATCATCATCATCATCATCATCATCATCATCATCATCATCATCATCAGCATCAGCATCAGCATCAGCATCATCATCATCAGCATCATCATCATCATCATCATCATCATCATCATCATCATCATCATCAACAACATCATCGCAAGGACACTCTCTCAGGCCACCCCGGCGGGGCCCGTGGGAGTGTCCTCGCCCCCGGGGCGAGCGCACTGCCCCAGGCCACACGTTGCAGTTGTTGCGCTGGGGTCGCCGTCGCGCCGACACACACATTATATTCCTTCTCCCCCTTCGTCGTCCTCCTCTTCCTCCTCGCTCTCCCTTCAGCTCCCTTCTCCTAACCCGCTCCAGCTCCCTTCTCCTCACTCCTCCGCCTCCCTCCTCCTCCCTGTTCCTCCCCTCCTCCTCCATCCCCCTCCGCATCCTCCACGTCCTCCTCCTCCTCCTCCTCCTCCTCCATCATCATCATCATCTCCCTCCCCTTCCTCCCTCGTCCAACTCCCTCCTTATCTTCCCTCCTCATTCTCATGCTCTTCCTCCTTCTCTACCCCATCCCCCCTTTTCCTCCTCCTTCGTCCTCCCCCTCCTCGCCCCGATTGGCGGGTGATCAATCCCACCCGTTGGAACAGCTACGCCTCAATGCTAAGAAGAGCTGGCATCGACAGATCAAGACGCAACGTAAGTATGAACGCCTGGCTGCCACGAGCCCACAAGCCACTTGCCCCCGCGGCATGATTCTGACACCTCGTCCGCGTCGTTCCCCTCATTGTTCCGCCTCCCTCCTCCTCCTCCTGTGAGAAGGGTGCGCCGAAATCAAGCTTCGGTGGAGCTCCCTCTGGGGCCAGGGCAACGATCCGTGAGGGGTGTGTGTGTCGAAATGAAGCCTCGGTGGAGCTCCTTGTGGGGCCAGGGACGCGATCCGTGAGAGGGGTGCGCCGAAACCAAGCTTCGGTGGAGCTCCCTGTGGAACCAGGGCCACGATCCTCGAGAGGGGCGTGCCGAAGTGAAACCTCGGTGAAAATCCCTGTGGGGCCAGGGCCACGATCCGTGAGAGGGGTGCGCCGAAATCAAACTTCGGTGGAGCTCCCTGTGGGGCCAGGGCCACGATCCTCGAGAGAGATGTGCCGAAATGAAGCCTCGGTGGAGCTCCCTGTGGGGCCAGGGCCACGATCCGTGAGAGGGGTGCGCCGAAATCAAGCTTCGGTGGAGCTCCCTGTGGGACCAGAGCTACGATCCTTGAGAGGGGTGTGCCGAAGTGAAGCCTCGGTGGAATTCCCTGTGGGGCCAGGGCCACGATCCGTGAGAGGGGTGCGCCGAAATCTAGCTTCGGTGGAACCCCCTGTGGGGCCAGGGCCACGATCCGTGAGAGGGATGCGCCGAAATCTAGCTTCGGTGGAGCTCGCTGTGGGGCCAGGCCCACGATCCTCGAGAAGGGTGTGCCGAAATGAAGCCTCGGTGAAATTCCCTGTGTGGTCAAGGCCAGGATCCGTGAGAGGGGTGCGCCGGAATCAAGCTTCGGTGGAGCTCCCTGTGGGGCCAGGGCCGCGATCCTTGAGAGGGGTGTGCCGAAGTGAAGCCTCGGTGGAGCCCCCATGTGTGGCCAGGGCCACGATCCGTGAGAGGGGTGCGCCGATATCAAACTTCGGTGGAGCTGCCTGTGGGGCCAGGGCCACGATCCTCGAGAGGGGTGTGCCGAAATGGAGCCTCGGTGGAGCTGCCTGTGGGGCCAGCGCTACGGTCCGTGAGAAGGGTGCGCCGAAATCAAGCTTCGGTGGAGCTCCCTGTGGGACCAAGGCCACGATCCTCGAAAGGGGTGTGCCGAAGTGAAGCCTCGGTGGAGCTGCCTGTGGGGCCAGGGCCACGATCCTCGAAAGGGGTGTGCCGAAATCCACCTTCGGTGGAGCTCCCTGTGGGGCCAGGGCCCCGATCCTCGAGAGTGGCGTGCCGAAATGGAGCCTCGGTGGAGCTCCCTCTGGGGCCGGGGCCACGATCCGTGAGAGGGGTGCGCCGAAACCAAGCTTCGGTGGAGCTCCCTGTGGGGCCAGGCCCACGATCCTCGTGTTGGGGGGTGTGAAAGTGAAGCATCGGTGACCCCCTGGGGGGCCAGGGCCACGATCCGTGAGAGGGGTGCGCCGAAATCAAACTTCGGTGGAGCTGCCTGTGGGGCCAGGGCCTCGATCCTCGAGAGGGGTGTGCCGAAGTGAAGCCTCGGTGGGGCCCCCTGTAGGGCCAGAGCTACCATCATCGAGAGGGCTGTGCCGAAATCAAGCTTCGGTGGAGCTCCCTGTGGGGCCAGGGCCACGATCCTCGAAAGGGGTGTGCCGAAATCAAGCTTCGGTGGAGCTCCCTGTGGGGCCAGCGCCACGATCCGTGAGAGGGGTGCGCCGAAATCAAACTTCGGTGGAGTTCCCTGTGGGACCAAGGCCACGATCCTCGAGAGGGGTGTGCCGAAAGGAAGCCTCGGTGGAGGCCCCTGTGGGGCCAGTGAGAGGGGTGCACCGAAACCAAGCTTCGGTGGAGCTCCCTGTGGGGCCAAGGCCCCGATCCTCGAGAGGGGTGTGCCGAAATCGAGCCTCGGTGGAGCTCCCTGTGGGGCCAGGGCCACGATCCGTGAGAGGGGTGCGCCGAAATCAAGTTTCGGTGGAGCTCCCTGAGCCACGATCCGTGAGAGGGGTGTGCCGAAATCAAGCCTCGGTGGAGCTCCCTGTGGGGCCAGGGCTA